TTGGTCTTGGTACCCTCAAGTCTCGGCAGTGTCTTGGTCTTGATACCCTCCGGTCTCGGCAATGTCTTGGTCTCGGTTTAGGCGGTCTTGACTACAACACTACTAGTTAATGTCATAGTTTTTATGAACAGTCCGAAAATGCCGCTCCACATTTCCCTTCTTCGGAATAGCAATGGTAGACTGACAGATGAGGCAAATGCACTTCGGATGTGACATGGTGGGAAAAAAACTGTCCTCCTCCCATTCTGTATGGAAGTGGTAGGTTTTTGGCTTCTTACTTGGTCCAGCTCCTCCATTCATTTTTATACCCTTTCTTAAGTTTAGTAGAAATATTTCGCTGGTACTTGTGACTAGTGACATGGTGTATTGCAACAGCAATAAAGGGTTTATCAATCAATCAATCAATCAAATTAATTGGAGGCTAACTAGGCGACTTGGTAGCTTGCAGCAGCTGGCGCGGTTGAACGCGTCATCCATCCTCTATTTTTTATGCCATACGATCTACCCACACTACCTTTGCAATCGACCAGTAGATCGCGATCGAGCTATTGGGCACCCCTGTTGTAGACCATGTACTGTATACGTCGGAATGGATCATGAAAACAATACTGGAACAGGCGAGAAAATAAAAATGCATGTATCGATATTTATGTGGTCACATCGATGCATCGGATCGTTTGCCGTTCAATCAATATATCGATACAAATCGATGTATTGTTACACCCCTAATATCCATGCATCCAATTTCTGTACTTGCTTGTCCCATTCAGGGTCACGGGGGGTCTGGAGCCTATCCAGAATCTATGGGCGCAAGGCCCATCATGATATTTTATTAAAAAAACATAATGACAGAAAATACATAACGTCATAATACACACTTTTTCTGTAGTGTTTTGTGTAAACGTAACAGCACTGACCAAAAACATGGGGACAGTTGTAAAATACTGCTTATTTGTAGAAATTTGTATAATTTTCATGTCTTAATCAAGGGATGCGAATGATACTTTATATTTGTTTGTAATGGTGTTTCTTTTAGATAAAAGTTTTTTATCATAACAAAAACTATGAAGAATGTAGCCCAATTTGGCTGGGGGCAGTCCATTTTTTTATTGTTATTTTGAATAGTACATACAGGAAGATGGAATTGCCTGCTAGGCGTTGCTGCCGGTCGCACCTCCTCCGGTGCCCACGGGTCAGCTGCAGGGTCGTCAGCCAGGAATCACCGATCAACAGCGTTTCGGTCCTTTAATCCTGGAACATCTCCTGGTGGCCGAGCAGTGACAGGGACGTCTCGCTGTCACCCCTGCAGCTGATAGGTGTTTCCCCTGCAGCTGTTATTGGGGTTAGTTGTTTCCCCATCACTTGTCCTTCCTCATCGGCCAAAGCCAAAAACTCCCCTTCTCAGCCTCCTCTGCCAGCTCTTTGGTTGCCTTTAGGTTCTCTCTGGTCACTCCTATGTCCCTCAGAAGGCGTGTGGTTGACAGCCCTACATAGCCTCGGCATCCAACTTCCACTGGATAGATGGTAGTCTTCCAGCCAGCCATGAGTTTACAGGACAGATAATGCATGTTTCTGGTAAAATGTCCCGTCTAGCAAACTGATGTTCCTGGCAGTTTCTTGAGGATTGAAAATGAAGATGGGAGCAAGTCTGGTAGGGTTCTTTTTAGTAGATAACCGGTCTATTAAAAACAATACAGAGGCAGTTGTTAAGTCAAACATCTCTGTGACCTTGTCTTTAACCATTGGCTCCTCGCTGCTCAAGCCTGCTGTGTTAGCAACTAGCTACTAAACTATACACACAAATCACAAACTTCATAATATGATATGCAAATCTTGAATCTTTAACAAAATTCTGACACTCGTTTAACGTCAGACGTTATATTAGTAGAATGTCTCTCATTTGAGTCTCTTTAAATCTGTTATTGCAAGTTACTTTTACTTAAAATTTAAAAAACACTTCTACTAGGTTAAAATATGCTACTTTCATAAAAAGGGGAGAAAATGTCTAACACAATTAATTTTATTATAACTATTAACATTTGTTTGAAGGTTTTACACTATACAACTGTATGGGTAACAATGTTATAAAATGAAACAAATATACCAAACAGACTATAGGTCATTTCTAACTTTCAAGAAAAGGGCCATGGGGGAAACAACAGTGAACCATATGTACATAAACAAATTAACAAAAACTTGATCAAAAATCTTTCAGGAAAACATTTCTCTGAATAACATGGAAAGGAAATACTCTAACGTACAAGAAGAGAGGCAATTGCCACAGTTGCAGCTGCGGGGAGAGCTTTCTTCAGAGGTGACTCTGAATATCCTGGTTTGACTGTGTGGACATAGTCCATGAACCCCATCTACACAAGAGACAGAAAGAGGATAAATGCCAGTTGCAACCTTGGAGACAAGGAGGAGGGGGGACACCCAAGCAGGTACAGGTAGAAGCAAACATATGTGTCAGTCTTTAAAAGATGTAGGTTGATTCTCAAGACTCGGTCCTACATTTTCTCTACTTATTGATCACCATGGACGGAGAAACATACATACACCTTGGGCTGGCAGGCTGAAATATCAAGATAGACATTTCAGGAACAAAATTTTGAAAAAGATGTCTTTTATTACAAAATTACATACACCTACCCAGCCTCCATTCTGGATCATCCATTCCTGTTTTTCTTCAAGAACATCGCTTATCATCTCTGCTAGCCGTCTGCTACAGGCGACATCTTCATCTGTGGTAGACAGTTGAACTGCCAGTATTCCCGCAAAGGCAAAGAGAATCAGAATCTCGCCCCAGCTCGTACTTTCACCACCAAACACATCCAGCATAAAATTCTTGAGTTTGGTCCAGGTGTTAAAGCCACCGTATCTGCAGAATGTCTCCACAAGTTGGTGCAGACTGGACCTATGCTTATTCTCCACCTTCTTTGCCATGTATCGCATGGCTTTAGCGAACTCGCTGGGAGGAGTCCTCTTGATCCCAATGCAGAAATCCATATAGTCATTTGCCACCACAAGAGTTTCATCCTGCAATGAGGTGGCCATATTCACTGAAAAGAGAGAACAAGAAACACTGCTATGCTTTGGATACGCAACGACTGGACAGTTATCGGCTGTCAGAAATACAACAATAAAACCATATTTTTGGTGAAAATAAGCCAACTTTCACGTTAAATTTCTTCATGGCGCCAAAGAGATGCAATTTTGAGAGGGACACATGAAGCATTTTTTTTTTTTATCACTGGTATAAAAATATATAACAATATATCACATTAATATACCGACTCCATGACACCATCCATGCTATTACAGTACATATACATAGAGACCATAACTATTCAGGTACCTTCCTCCTGCTCTGGCGTTCTCCTGAACCGCCGGTAGAGGTACGCTGCACCTGCGGCAGCAGCGACCACTCCAGTTGCACACGCAAATTTTAAGATTCCCATCTTCTTATCTAAGGACGAAATGAGCATTGACTCCCATCCGGCAGTATAAATAAGCGTCTCCGTTACCATGGTGATTGTGACACGGATTCCGAAAGTTCTAAACAACGTCAAAAAAAAACTTGCAATTTACGTCACACCGTCCCGCCCACTGGAAGCAAAGAACGTCATCTGACATGTTGGTGCTAGTGATAGGAACTTAGGAAGTTGGACTCAATTAACTGATTTGATTCTGTCCATTCTAATGAATCGATTCTAAAATCGATTCTATGATTCACTATTTTTTTTCGTCTTTTTTTTGCGCCTGACCGTATGACTCAACGAATCATGGGATCGGATAATAAATCAAACGGTGTATCAAGATTATACGTTATTTGACTGAAAGATGGCGCTGGTGTTCAACAAAAATGTTCAGCTTGACTATTCACAATAAAAACACGTGTGTATATACTGTATAGTTATTATTTTCTTTACTTTAGCCAAATTCATGTGCATGAGTATCAAGGACTACATCACAGTTAACAACAACTGCAATATTACCAATACAATCACACATACACATACAATGATCGAGCATGAGTAAACTTGCATACGTTGTTGTGTAAACGTCAAAGTTAATAAATACATTTGTTTTTTGATGAAAGACATATATACTTCTATTATACAGAAATGCAATAATTTACTGTTGTGATAAACGATGACGTTTATTTTATTCCTCTTAACAGCGTAACTGCATTTCCGCAGTAAACGACGCGAGGGCTCTTGGGACCGATTCGCAAACCGTTCGTTTGAGTCACGGAGTGTCCGAAAACCGTAAGTTCGATTCGTTTACCGAACGGGTTTTCGGACCCTCGGTCGACGATTCAGACGAACGGTTTGCGAACCGATCCCAAGAGCCATTGCGGCGTTTACTGCGGAAATCCTTCTACGCTGATGAATAGGGTAAAATAAACGCATCTGTTTTCGATTTATTTCGACAGCGGTAAATTATATATATATGCACTTATTGAATTTGGCGTTTATACAACTCTTTGTACACGTTTATGTGTGCTTACTGTATGAGACTGCTTACAGTATTATTACTGTACTTTTCATGTCATTTCAAGGGTCCAATTACTCACCGCGGTAAAGATAGTTTGCAGTTTGCGATTCGGGATTCCTTTGAGTTTATCTCGATAGTGCGGTGAGGTAAACTAGTAAACACAGTGGCATTTTGTTATTCGTGATTTGTGAATTCGGATGACGTCATTTCCCATCCCGAAATCTGCCAATATTATTCTTTGCCTTTTTATTGTCAAACGCGAATAATAAAAAAACTTCACCATATAAACAGGTCCAGGCAGGCTCATTCTGACCAGTCTGATTTGTGAATTTTTTCACAGTCCTCAGTTCGTCTCTGCCAGTGACTGATAAGCTCCGAGACAGAAGGGATTAAAAACACGTCACATGCCATAGCAATATATGGGCTACATCACATCCTAGTGGCCAAAACATCCAAACAAAGTGGTCCAGAAGGCTCAAACTGATCAATCTGATTTGTGAATTTTTTCACAAATCAAATGTGGTCAGTCAGTCATAGGTCAGTGTATGTATTAGGCAGCTGGTGGGAAAAAGCACTGTTTTTACACATGAACCTCACTAATAATGAACATACACTGACCTATGACTGAAAATTCACAAATCAGACTAGTCAGAGTGTGTCGCGACGGCAGGCAGGCGAGCCGGGAAGCAGGCGAGATCAGCCGGATAGACGGATAAACGGGTTTTTAATGGTCACGAAAGGACAGACAGGCACGAACATCCGGACAATGCAATGACGGAACTGGGGAATACTGACTGAGACACGGACTAAATACTAAAGACTAGCCAGAAATAACAGAACACAGGTGATCACAATCAGGAGTTGACATGAGGTAATGAGGGGGCGTGGCACACACGAGGATCGTGACAGAGCGAGCCTGCCTGGAAATGTTTATATGGTGAAGATTTTTTATTATTCGCTTTTCACAATAAAAAGGCAAAGTATAATATCGGCAGATTTCGGGATGGGAAATGACGTCATCCGAATTCACAAATCACGAATAACAAAATGCCACTGTGTTTACTAGTTTACCTCACCGCACTGTCGAGATAAACTCAAAGGAATCCCGAATCGCAAACTGCGAACTATCTTTACCGCGGTCAATTACCGGCACATGTCTTTTCCTGTATTAAAATAAAAGTGCAAATGTGTGATATTTCTCCAGCAAAATCGTTGGAAAGACTAGACTGAATGCAATCAACAATGTAAAAACAGACCATATATATACATAAACAATTCATATGTCCTGTAATAACTATTTTATTCGTGCTAATGTCATCATCATCATCATTATTATTATTATACCTGTGTAATAATACCGGTGGTTCAGTTACTTATACTCGTGCACAATATATTTGCATTTTTTTTTAAAATGACAAATTATCACAAGTGTAGGCCTAAATATTTATTTGTATATTACCATAATAAAGCAATACAGCAATAATACAGACCGACTATTAAAAGAGAAATAAAACCAGAGAAGATTTAAGAACCAAAGAATATTTCAATAAAATCTTACAAATATTTTAAGTACAAAATAAATAAATCACAGGGCCCTGATGGCATCTTACCTATAGTGTTAAAA